GACGGTTTAATCGCCCGGCAAATCGAGCTGAAGCGAACCAGGAGGCCGGCGCAGGACAAACAAGTCTTCAAGACCCCAAGCGCCAACGTAGCGTTGCCATGGCGACAATGCAATGGCTGCCCAACACTCCGAAAACCCAAGCGATCCGTGATGAAATACAAGCATATCTGACGGCTGCTATGGCCCAGACCGCTGAGATGAATCAAGCCCGGGCCCCATCCGTTTCGGTGGAATCAAGCCACAGCCGCCAATACTCAAGTCGCTCACAGCCGCTCAACCGACGTGGCTCGCGCAACAACGACCCGTCGGACGATCGTCAAGGCGGAAGCGGCGGCGGTCGGGACGAAAACCGTCGCCGAGAGGATATCCGTCACGACGTTCGAGGTGACAACCGCCCGGGATAACCGCGACAATCGCCGTGATAACCGCGGTGGTCGTGATGATAGCTTCTCGGGATCGCCGCGGCGGCAACAACGATCTTCGCCATTACCTCGGCGGACGTGATCTCGCGTGCTCGCATCAACCGTAGAGAGCCAACGATCGTGCATCCCATGAAAGCTATCGCCGTATGGAGTATGACACCGCCCACGGCCCTCCCGGTCCGGGCGATTCACTCCACACCTTCGCCAAGTCATATGGCCCAAGAATTTCAAGCTCGAGAAACTTCGTATACGACGGCAAGGAAAACCCAATTATGGGTCATGCTCTGAAACGCGTGCCGATCAGCCATGGTGACGAGCACGTTATGTCTAACTACTTCCCGATTGCCGTTGGTCACGCAGTCACCAATGGCTAGTCACCTTCTTAAAGAAAGCTGTTTTGACTCTTGGCGAGGAGCTTAAGCGTGCCTTCATCGACAATTTCATCGCTACTTGTGAACAACCCGGCAACAAGTACGATCTACAACGGATCCGAGATCGGAAAGACGAACCACTGTGCGAATACGTTCGGCGTTTCTCGGAGATGCGCATCAAGGTCCCATCAATCTCCGACAACGAAGCAATCGAGGCTTTCGTCACCGGCCTCCATTTCCACGACGCCCTAAGGGACAAGCTCCTTCGGAAAAGACTTGAGTCAGTCACAGCGCTCTTGGCCACCGCTAAGAAATACGCGGACGCTGACGACGCTAAAAAGATAATCGTCGAAGAAGAAGCAAGGATCCCGCGCTCCGACCACCCTCCACGCCGCGACGATTACCGCGGCAACCGTAGTCGGAACGACAATTTTGACCGCCGCAACCAAGCGCATAACGACTCCAAATGACCACCGTGATCAACGTAATCAGCGGCGCGCAACCGCCGTGACGATTACAGGAGCAAGCGTGCTCGGGAAGACGACGGCGAGGTCAATACGGTGAAAAAGGGCGGCGGACGTCGTAACTACGAGGACGACTACGCCAAAGCATTGAAGGGCCCCTGCCAGCTCCATCCCAAGTCGAACCATACCATGGAGAATTGTCGCGTCCTCAAGACTATCTACACGCGCCAACAGGCTCCGGATATTTCCGACAAGCCTAATGACGTAAGGGAACAGCGCAACGAGGACAACGGCAGCGATGATGCGCATCCTCGTCATAAATACGTCAAGCCGATCGATCGCGTGCACACCATCGCCGGCGGCAAGGTGTCCATCGAGACCAAACGAGAACGCAAGCTGCGCCGCCTGCTACCGCTTGAACGTGGCAAAGAACGACAACCTTCTCACCGATCCGCGGCTTCCTCCGTGGTCTCACCGTGAAATCTACTTCAGCAGAAGGACCAATGGGCCGCCATACCCGAGCCAGTATGCGTTTTCCCCGTCCTCGATCCTTGTATCAACAAGGTTCGATTCGACAGTACTGATTGACGGCGGCTCCATTGATATATTGTTCAAGAACAACCTGCCCGCTCTGAAAATAGCCCAGCGGACTGAAAGCCGTCTGAGGCACGAGCTAAGGGCGTTCTCCCCTGACAGAGCTCCACACCTCTCGGGCGAGATCACGCTACATGCGCTTTGGGACTCCGGACCACTTCCGCGACTTCCGACTACGCCAACTTCGTGGTCGCCGATTTCGACGGCACCTACCATGCTATTCTTGGTCGACCGTCGCTCACCAAGTTCATGGCCATACCTCATTACAGTATCTGGTGCTCAAAATGCCTCTTGAGAAAGGAGTTTTAACCCTCGGGGGCAATGTATACGCAGCTTTATACCTGCGAGGACAACGACTTCAAAATAGCAGAGGCCCATGACCTCTCTATTCGCATGGCCGAGACCATGCTCGGCCTTCGCCGTAAGACCACGGCCGACCACTTGGAGATCCCAGCTCGAGGCTCAGCAAGAACATCGATCCAAGGAGCACAAGACGATCCAATGTGGTCGAGGGCGATCCCAAAGACAACGGCCTCGCATCGGGGCCAACACGGATCCCAAATAGGAAGACGCTACTCGTCGAGGTTCTTGAGGGGCAACGTGGACGTGTTCGCATGGAAACCTTCCGACATGCCCGTGTACCTCGGGACTTGATTGAGCACTCCTTAAATGTCAACAAAGCAAAGCCAAACCAATCAAGCGAAGCTTACTGACGGTTCGCTTCGCGACAAAAAGGAGGCGATTAGGGTAGAAGTTACGGGCTTTTGGCGGCGGATTTATCAAAGAAGTGTATCATCCGGAATGGTTAGCCAACCCGGTTCTTGTACGCAAAAAAGAATAATGAATGGAGAATGTGCGTTGATTACACCGATCTCAACAAACACCGCCCTAAGGACCCCTTTGGCTTACCTCGCATAGACGAAGTCGAGATTCAACCGCCCGGTTGTGAGTCTGCTTTCCTTTCTCGATTGCTACTCGGTTATCACCAGATCGCTCTCAAAAGGACGACCAGATCAAGACGTCTTTCATCA